CAGGTTGATACCAGTGTGGAGACGCTCGCAAACACCAAGTCATACTAATTACCTCATCTGTCAGATTTGTATTTTCCAAATTGATCAGTTCAAATTGCACACGTTTGAACACTTCCTCTAACAATTCAATATGAGGTCCTTTCAGCTGGGTCCCTGAAACAAACGTGTGATTACGGGGGTGGAATGAGCAAAGTAAGCCTCACCTTTGAGTGTGAACAAATCGCGTCGCGCATAGGAATCTTTGAGATTGATTACCTAATGTGTCCAGAACAATAGATGACTGACTGGGAACAAATTGTTTACCTCGAGCTGAGCCAGTACCGAATACAGTGGTGCTACACCTTCGATATCACATCGTAATTTATACGCCCCAGCCAACTCATACGGGTTCAGTGGTTCTGTACGACCACAATTATCGTCATATATACACACATGCGGAGAAAGGAACACCTACCGTTCATCCAAGGACTACTCGGTTCGAATACCGCGGTGATTAACTGATCCCCGTCACCAAAACGGACTGAACGTTTACGACTCACTTGTACAGATTCGTTCTGGTGACCGTTCAAGTTGGGTTGATCCTCTGAAGAAGAAACAAAAATAAATCCCGCGTGGATTGGAATAACTTTTCTTCTAATGGAAACGGGGAGGGGGGGTGCGTTGATGAAATGATTCAACTTTTTGTTTGGCACGTTTCGGTCAAAGTATTCATGTGAACAGATCACAAACTGCAGCATGAATGAAGCCCGTAAATTAAACCGGCTCCAGCTATCAGCTGAGCAATGGGATCACAGACATGGGGCTCTAATCTTCTCACATTACTATTCTGCTGTGTACAGATAATCTGTGCAAGCTGGATGGTGATGACAAACCTGAACAACTGATCCTGTGGGTTCAAACCGAAACCGTATCGACTAATCTCCATCTAACGCGTATACAAGAAGGAATAAAAATTATTCGCATTTAACTCACAGTTATTTGTAAGTAATTGTATTGTATTGTATTGTATGAGAGTAATGGAGGATTTGATTTGTTCATATAATGAATTCGCAATGTAGATGAGGCGTGAGCCGAAAATCTGAGAAGCACTGGACAGCTGTTTCGACCTGGTTGGGTGTCATTAGCAGTGTGAATCCATCGACTTAACTGGGGATCGAACCCAAGACCTCACCGGTAGAACGCAAGCATATATGGGTTCAGCTGGACGTTGGATACGCACAATCGGTGATGAGCTCTAAGAAGAGAGCGAAACTCGGGTCTATACGGTATCGAGTGTGTTGACCCGGTGAGGTGAAGATTGTGTGCGCGAAGGTGAAGTCCGAGAAAGATGATCAGTTTATATTAAAAATTCGAAACGGATCATTCTCGTTCATTTGTTTTGTTACACACTTTCATGTGATGGACAGCAGACGGGGAAATCCCCATAGTCACGAGGACTGCTAGTGTTCTGTGATGGTAACCTAATCCCCGCGGGACTTGGAGTGGCGATCCGCGTATGGACCCGATAGGTTAGGTGTGATATTGGACCGGACGACAACAAAGCTGTCCACCACCAAAGTTGGGTGGCAGTGGCGCAGCTCGAACCTCGGACCATAAGGTACAAAGCACACCTGTGAAAGCGACTAAACCACTGCGCCACCAACACCCACCATCGTCATGTGAGAAATAAGCTTTGTTCGGTTATGCTTCTTTGCATCAGTCGACAGGCCTCCGAGATCGGCCTAGAGGTGAACACATCAAAAACCGAAAATTTTTCGACAGTCCTGATTCATCCCGAAGATGATTTACTACTAAACGGTAAGCCGATCGAATCCGTCAAAAGCTTTAATACTTGGACTCAACCATACTACCTAACGGCCAAGATAAAGACGAGGTACAAGTGCGCGTCGATGTTGCCAGAAAGGCGTTTTCACAACTGAAGAACTCCCATTGGCGTAGAGATGAAATCAGCCTAAAGACAAAAAAGTAGTATTCTCCGCAGACGCAGTACGAAAGGATACAGAAAACCTTGGTCTCCGCTCCATCTACAGCATTCGCCAATGGAAGTCAAACTGAATCACAATCTGCACTGATTTTCCCGCAGACCGCTGAGCGTGGGCAGCGGCCATTCGGGATATCCATGAAGCCGGATTATCCTCTCCCAGGAGCCAACTGCCGTAAAGTAAAGTAGGTAAGTAAGCTTCTCTGTATCATTTGCTAGTGAGAGAATCCGAGGTGTCAGCCACGATTGGAAGCAATGAAAAGAAAATTTAGGGAATTGGAAAATCGCTCCGTGTTAAAGATAATACCCATGTACCCATGTGTTAAGGCAGAGATGAACTTCTAGTGAGAGATTATCTTCAAAAACTATTATCTCCACCCACCCACCCCCCCACTCCACCCCGAAGCACCGCTACATGTATACAATCCTTATTTTGGTTTTATGCATTCGCATGGCTGATGAGACTGGACAAAGTCGAAATGGTCGCACGGTTTTTTCGATCTT